CTTAACTTGAGCATGCTGAGCAAGTCCATGGACTTCAAGGCCATCCACGGCGAAGTCATGAAGATCACGGTGGACGAGTACAAAATAGACCGCAGCAAGTGCGTCGGTTTCATGCTCGACGGATGCGGCGCCAACATGAAGGCCCTGGACACGCTGCTGCTGAACTTCCCGAACGCTGTCGGCGTTCGGTGCTTCTCCCACCTCCTCAACAACTGTGGCAACGAGCTGAGCTCGGAGGAGACCGACAAATTCGCTGGCCACTTGCACGTACTCCTGGCCCATAGCCACAACGCTAGAGACTTGTGGTTGCAGGAGACGAAGGTGTCGCCTCCGAAACCCGTTTCTCACCGCTGGAGCTCGCGTTACGTGCGGAACAACGCCTTGGTGCTGAACTGGCAGCAGATGAAGACCTTCGTCGACAAGTTCACCTCGACCGAAGAGTCCAGGTCCAACTCGGCCGCTGCGATGAGGGAGGAGCTCGGGCGTGTTCGGCTGGATGGTGTCCACCAGGAGCTCATCTTGCAGCTGGGATTCGCGGTAGCTGTGGACGTCGGGATCCACCTGGTCCGTCCCACCCATCTACTCGAGGGAGACGGATTCCTGGTAAGCACTTACCCGAGAGGCCCTTATATTTCGCACCTACCTTTCGTAGGTGTGGTCGTTCGGTGTTCGTCATCTGCCGCTATATGTTATTGATGTGTTCCCTTCCCGTACCGTCACCCCTTGCCACCGATAGCTACCTGAGGCGTACGATGCCATCGTGAGTGTGCGCAAAGGTCTGGCCCTGACCTTGGACAGCAACGTCCCTCCGCGGTTTGAGGACAAGGTGAACATGCCTAACGTGAACGCGCTCGTGAGGGAGTACTCCAACAGCGTGAACGCCAACGTGAGTATTTCGGGAGTCCGTTTGTGGAAGTTGCTTGTGCGACCAGAAATTGTTGAGCTGTGTTCGATGACCCCCCCTCCATGATCACAATACACAACCATCACGTCACCTCCTGTTGTATATGTCCGCGACTTGGAAGGGAGAGACTGAATATCGCTTGTATTAGAAACGCAGAAGCAAGAGAAGAGAAGAAGA